GCTCCCTGTAGCCAGTTCTGGTCAGCAGTTCACCGGCATCACTTTAAACTAGCTGAAGTTTTTGAACATTGTTCAAATGCAGCACCACTTAAGAGTGCAATCCAGTACTCCATACAGCATGTAAGTATGCCCTGCATCACCATAAGCAGATCAGATATCTGAAGGAACAGAAATGGCTGAACTAGCTTTAATTGTGGAAATGCACTCTTGGCCACTGCTGAAACCTCTGTTCACAGCTGAATCCACCCTCCCTGCTGGCCTGACTTTTCAGGGGGAAGGGAACCTTGTCCATTGCAGGCTGAATCCTTATTCCCTGATCTGCTTTTTGACTGATCAGGAGCACTTCTATCTTTCTGGGTTAATAATATTAATAATCTTAGAACTGCAGATAAGTTTCAGGTTGTTCGCCCTCATCCCAGGCCATCAGGAACTGGTGTAGACCCAGAACAGCTTTCTTAGATGGAAATATAAGAAATAGAGTAAGGTTGGCACTAAACCCTAAACTTGTTGACTTCCTATCAGGCCTGCTTCATATGTACTCCTTCATGGCACTGAAATAATTCTTGAGAAGACTTGCTTAAAATTGAACTTTACTTTAGCTGCTTGGTAGAAAAATCCCTCAGGTCATCAAAATTTTTATCTAGCCCAAGTCGACTTGCTTAGGTCTGACCCATTCTGTCATAGGACCATTACATTAATTTTGGAGGTCACTTGTTCCTAGGTGTGCCGTAAGTTGGAGTCACTTTGATAGGATGTGACACCACCAACACGTGCATGTGCGCGCACGTGCGCACACACACATACACACACACACCACAGCATAACACCCTCATTTATTGAGACCAGCAGATACAGATGGATGGGATGAATATTCAAAGGGTTGGGGATTTTTTGTTTTTTTTGTGTTTTTTGCTCCTTCCATAGAAAGACACACATACATAATTACTGCCCCTATACTTAGGGAATGCAATATTTATATAAAATCAGCCATCTGGAATATCAAAAAAGAAAAGAGAAACGTGAAGTGTGAAGTGTGCTCTCGATCATCACTGCATAATTTGGGAAGGAAAAGAACTAAATCTTATGAAACGAGACCTCAGGACCTGGTGTTCTGCTTCACAATGAAGCTGTCAAAAATCCCAAAGCATTTTCCAAAATGCTTTACTTTCCATGCTTCTGGCCTATAACAAGCTGCAGGATGTTTTCCAAGTTCTCCTTGGAGAATACGTGGAGTAGAGGTCATGATTATTTTAACTCTAAAATCATTGATTTGCACCCATCCAGAATCCCACACGAAAGCCACACAAAGCTGCTGAAATGACAAGTAATGCACATGAACCGCTGAGTCTAATATTTCACTCTACTCTTTCTTGGTCTCTCTAAAAGGTTTGTGACAACATGTGAGTAGACAGATGGCACAGAGCTTGTATCACTCAAAAGGAGAAAGAGAGCACACTGAAATACTGAAGAATAAATAAATTAGGTTCATGCAGATGTGCTTCGTAAAGGATCCAATTTACGGGAAGGAAAAACTAAAAATCCTGAACAGTCAGAGCTCTCTGGCTGCTATAAAAAAAAACCCCAAGGACCTGGAAAGCTGAGTAGCGGGTTTTGAAGGGCATACAGTAATGGAACCTGTAAGATCCGGGGTGGGTGGCCACTGAAAGAGAACAGAATGCTGGAAGCTGAAATAAAAATTGCTTTACTTTATTTATTTCATAAGAAACTGCCGAAGTTTCCACATTGTTCTTTCACAGTGGGAATGGAAAGCACTTTAATTAAACGTTTGAACACAGAAGAATTTTAGCCATCCAAGTCCTGGGCTTTGAATGCTGAAGTTCAGAATCCCTGGGTCTTAATCCTTGTGAATTCCATCCAGTCAGTACTAAATGGGGATTGTCATCTCTTCCCCCCCCCCCCAAAAAAACTTCAAAAGCCCTGGGTCTGAATCCTTGTGAATTCCATCCAATCAGTACTAAATGGGGATTGTCATCTCTCCCCCCCCAAAAAAAGGTCATCATCTTTAACACATACATGGTGCGCACAAGCACCACACAGTCCTCTCTCTGTTCATCCCAGGAATACCTGTGTCCAGTGGAGTTAGTTTTGTTCAGATATGAGTGAAATTAGTTTCTCCTTGTATTTGAAGAATTGATCTAAACATTGCAAAATTCTTCTTATTTCTAATAGCAAGAACTTGAGTTTTAAAACCTAAGAGTCTGGGTTAGGGAGGAAAACTGGAGTGAATCTTAATTCCGAACTTTTTGTACTGTCTGAGTCTTAAGATTGTCCTGAATGGCTGTTTCTCTTAATTTGGGTTCTCCATTGTTTACCTCAGTCTCTGCCATAGAATTCATGTCTAGTTCTCATAAGCAGAGACACCATGAAACCCCCTCCAAAATGTAGATGTCAGCGATTCTGAGGCAACTTGGGAGGAGAGCCAGGCTGCTGTTGTTAGTTATGGTGTAAATATTTGTTTTCAAGATTGTTCTTAATAAAGTGGTGTAAGAGCTTGATGGCTCTGTCTGTTCCTTTTCACCAGACTGACAGAATGTGTTTATCTTTCATGATTGAAAGTAAAGTTGATTTGGATGTTTCAGCATTGTTTGGATAGGGCTGAGATGGGAACATTTCTTCATTGATTACCTTAATCGTCTGTCTGTGCCTAAGTAAGAGGTCTTCTGTGTTCTCCTTTGAAACCATGATATTTTTTGCACTTTTTCAGTGTTCTCTTTGCTCATTGCTCATTTCTAACATTGCAACGGTGGATTAGGAGAATGCTGTTGATGTAATTGGATGTCAGTCAATACCTTGTTGTCATAGCTCACAAGGCACACCTGTGAACAAAGCTCATAACAGGGAAAATTCAACTAAAAACGTGGTTACCTTTCCATTTTACTTATCCAAGAATCCCGTATGACTCAGGTCTGGTGAAATTCCAGAGCTGTGAGGATTATTCCAACCCCTCTGGACATCTGAAGGCCTCATCCACTCAATAGGCCTCCTCCACCTCTGTTCCCCACACACCCCTTTTAGCTCAAAATAATCAGTCATGTCCCCATAGCCCACAATTAGCAGCCATGTTCATTATTTCCCCTGCAACCTGATTTAGGCTCCTAAAGACTTTTGAAAAAAAAAATAGGGGTGATGAGAACATCTTTTACAGATCCGGAAGAGCCCTCCTCCAGCTTAAAACAGGTTTAGGGGTGGGGGCAAAAAATAAGACAAAATTTGTAGCTACGATTCCTGAAAGGAGTAGTCCACTATTCTGATTTTTTTGAAATTGGGAATCTGGTGTAGGGAAGGGGAAGGTCTAGGGCATGGAAACGCATACTGGGAAACTGAGGCACAGCATGTGGCCCATGGGTTGCCTTCTCACTCTTGGTGTAACTTTTTGTTGATATTTCATCAATTCACTGAAGAATATTCCTACATCAGTAGAGGACTGGGGAAGGACAGGTTAAATTAAGGCAGGGCTTCTCTGCCTCGCCTCCTTGCCTGAGCCTCCACTCAGACAAGGAGGCAGGACAGGCAGATCTGTGCTCCTGCCAGGGATTGGTCGAACAGCCGAAGAGGAGGAGGAGAGGAGCATGTGTTGGCTGGTGAGCGGGTCATTGGCCCGGGAGGTGGGAGAAGGGAATGTGTGGTACTTATAGTGCTATGTGTACGAACCAGCACAAACCTCCAAACTGTGGTCTGTGCCCATCTCTGTTTAACATCTCCCATCACTAAGATCTAGAAAGAATTTTAAAAAGGGCTGTGTGGTTCAGGACTGCACTAATGCAAGAGTTTGGTGATATCTTTATTATATCTTCATTTGTGTAGTCACTGAGATCTGTGTCTGCTGTCATATTCACTGTCTGCAAGATGGGGGGATTAAAATAAATAGCATGCACAATCTGCACCACTACAGTTGTTAGCCTGCAGACATTAAAATAATGCAATGCATACATTTAGAATGAGAGAAGGCCAAGTAGTTCATCGCAGCAACCCCAGATAGCCATTGCCACCCTGTATTCTTCCTCTTACCCTGTATTCTTCCTCTTATCCTGTGCCCCAAATTATAGTAATCTGGAAGTATTTTATTGTTTATTTCTTTTGTTTGTTTGTTTGTTTGTTGCAATTATACCTCCATTTTCTTCCAGTGAGCTCAGCATGACTCTCTTTAGCCTGAGAACAGCCCTGTGAGGAAGGTCTGGGGGTGGGAAGAGTGGCTGGCTTCAAATCATGTAGTAAAGCTCATGGCCAACTGGTCCTTCCTTTGATCGCAGGTTTCCCAAGCACAAGTCCAACATTTTAACAAAGACACCAAATCACAAGCCACCGTTATGGAACACAGCATGCTTTGGGAACTACTGCAAGCAATACTGCGCATGGGCCCGTTGCCCTCCCCAGAATAATTTAGGGTCTCACTTTAATTACCGTAAGGCTTTTGAACTATGCAAGAAGAATGCATGTGTAAGCTTTTAAAAAAAAGCAGTTAGACTTCCGGGAGAATTAAACAAAATAATCCCAGATCAATGATAAGGTGAAGTCAGGTACACCCGCCATTTTGGGTAAATACACAAATCAAATGTTTTCATGAGAACAGCATCTTAAAAGGTTATGTTGGGACGTTCTGCCTTTTTCCCCCCTTCTGCATTCAATATTTCTCTATGAGAACAGTATCTTAAAAGGTTATGTTGGGATGTTCTGTCAGCAAACATTTCCCCCTGCCTTTTTTCCCCCTTCTGCATTCAATATTTCTCTCTCCCACCCCATCCCCCACTCCAACCCCTTGCTTCCATTTGTTTCCAATAGAGACTCAAGGAGCTGAAACAGAGAGAGTTTGCCCGAAACGTAGCCTCCAAATCAAGGAAGGATGATATCTTAAAAGGTTATGTTGGGATGTTCTGTCAGCAAACATTTCCCCCTGCCTTTTTTCCCCCTTCTGCATTCAATATTTCTCTCTCCCACCCCATCCCCCACTCCAACCCCTTGCTTCCATTTGTTTCCAATAGAGACTCAAGGAGCTGAAACAGAGAGAGTTTGCCCGAAACGTAGCCTCCAAATCAAGGAAGGATGAAAGGAAGCAAGAAAAAGCCCTTCAACGCTTGCACAAGTTAGCCGAACTCAGAAAAGAAGCTGCATGGTGAGTGGAAAGTGGGGACGGCCCAAGGGTGGGGGTTGCAAGATATCTCAGCTGGAGCATTTTGGCAGGAGGCCCCACAAGGATGAAGACCTTGAACCAGAACAAGAGCAATATAAAATAAATAAATAAATAAATAATAAATAAAATAAATAAATAAATAAAATAATAAAAATATGTTTTGAGA